AGAAATGGATAAATTCCTAGAACCATAAAAACTACCAAAACTGAAACAGGAGGAAATAGAAAATTTGAACAGACTGAAAACCAGCAAAGAAATTGAGTCAGTAATCAATAAATTCCCAGCAAACAAAAGTGCAGGACCACATGGCTTCATGTTCTACCAAACATTTAAAGAATAGTTAATTCCTATTCTTCTTAAACTATTCCAAAATATAGAAGAGGAAGAAAAACTTCCAAATTCATTCCGTGATGCCAGCATTACCCTGATACCAAAACCAGATAAAGACACCACTAAAAAAGAGAACTACAGGCCAGTCTCCCTGATGAACACAGATGTAAAAATTCCCGATAAAATACTAGTAAACCATATCCAACAATACATTAAAAAATACTTCACCATGATCAAGTGGCATTTATTCCTGGGTTGCAAAGGTGGTTCAATATTGACAAATCGATCAATGTGATACATCACATCAATAAGAGAAAGGATAAGAACCATACAATCATTTCAGTAGATGCAGAAAAAGCATTTGACAAAGCACAACATCCATTCATGATAAAAACCGTCAGGAAATTAGGTTTAGAGGGAACATATCTCAACATACTAAAGGCCATCTATGGAAAGTCCACCGCTGACATCATTCTTAATGGGTAAAAACTAAGAGCTTTTCCCCTATGGTTAAGAACAAGACAAGGATGTCTACGCTCACCACTTGTACTCAGCATAGTACTGGAAGTCCTTGCCTCAGCAATCAGCCAACAAAAGAAATAAAATGCATCTAAATCAGTAAGGAAGAAGTAAAACTTTAACTATATGGAGGTGACATGATAATATATATAGAAAACCCTAAAGACTCCCCCAAAAAACTGCTAGAACTGGTACACAAATTCAGTAAAGTTGCAGGATACAAAATCAATGTATAGAAATCGGTGTATTTCTTTACACCAATAATGAGGCAGCAGAAAGAGAAATCAAGGAATCGATCCTATTTACAGTTGCACCCAAAATAATAATATATCTAGGAATAAACTGAACCGAAGAGGTGAAAGACCTGTACTCTGAAAACCATAAAACACTGGTGAAAGAAATTTGAGATGAAACAAGGAAATGGAGAGGTATTCCATGCTCATGGATTAGAAGAACAATTATCGTTAAAATGTCTATATTATCCAAAGCAATGTATACATTTAATGCAATCCCTATCAAAATACCAACAGTGTTTTTCACAGAACTAGAACAAACAATCCTAAAATTCATATGGAACCACAAAAGACCCCGAATAGCTAAAACAACCTTGAAAAAGAAAAGCAAAGCTTGAGGCATCACAACTCCAGACTTCAAATTATATTTCAAAACAGTAGTAAAACAGTATGGTACTGGCATAAAAATAGACACATAGATCAATGAAACAGAATAGAAAATCCATAAATGAACTCATAATTATACGGTCTGTTAATTTTTGACAAAGCAGGAAGAATAGCCAGTGGGAAAAAGAATATCTCTTCAACAAACTGTGTTTGGAAAACTGGACAGTAACATGCAAAAAGGAGCACTCATACACCATTGGTGGGAATGTCAACTGGTGTAGTCACTGTGGAAAACAGTATGGAGGTTCCTCAAAAAGTTAAAAATGGAACTATCTGAGGATCCAACAATCACACTACTTGGTATTTACTGAAAGAATACAAAAACACTAATTCAAAGGGATACATGAGCCTCTGTTTATAGCAGCATTATTTACAATGGCCAAGATGTGGAAGCAGCTCAAGTGTCCATTGAATGATGAGTGCATAAAGCAGATATGGTTTATATATACAATGCCATACTCAGCCATAAAAAAGAATGAAATCTTGCCATTTAAAATGACATGGGTGGAGCTAGAGTGTATTATGCTAAGCAAAATAAGTCAGAGAAAGACAAACACCATATGATTTCACTCATATGTGGAATTTAAGAAACAAAGCAAACAAGCAAAGGGGAAATAAAATAAGAGAGACAAAGCAAGAAACAGACTCTTAACTATAGAGAACAAATTGATGGTTACCAGAAGTGAGGGGGCGTGGGGATGATGGGTTAAATAGGTGATGGGGATTAAGGAGTGCACTTGTCATGATGAGCACAGGATGATTTATGGAACTGCTGAATTACTATATTGTATACCTGAAACTAAGATAACACTGTATGATAACTAACTAGAATTAAAGTAAAAGCTTAAATTAAGAAAGAAATATTTTGACATATTTAGGAGCTTTCAGTTATAGTTTTTGAAAGAAAAGTATAAAGAGAATCTTGCTGCTTCTAACTCTTCAATTTTTTGATAATTTCCATTTCTCTCTTCTAAGTTACATTGTTTGAAAGCAAATTCTATTTCTTCTTCTTTCATTCACAAAACGTAATATTATGAAGTACCATAAAAGTAAACTAGCTTGAACAACAAAATATTAAAACATAATGAAACTGGGATATTCTAAGTTCTAGAACAAAAGGCAAAATCAATATCTCTATTAAGAAAACGAACCTGGCAAATTTCAGTCTGGCTGCTGGAGCCTTTTATCCAATAGGCAGAAGCATAACATATAAAAGATAATAAATCAAATTGAGCTTGCTGTTTCTCAGATTTTAATGGTTTGTGTTTAACTTTTAAGAGCAAACTCCAAATGGTTGTTTAAATTACTGTAGTAGAATTATTAGGCCTAGCTGTGAGGCAGAAGCAGAATTTTCTGCTTCTGAAATGTACATATTTCACACAGTGTGTACATGTGCATGCCAAGACACATCAAAATTTTACCTGTTTAGTAACAGCTTCATTTTTAAGCTTCCAAACTACATCAGCTAAAATGATACAGATCTGCACATAAATATTGGAAGAGTTGAAGAAGCCAGCGTGATTCTTGCATTGCAGAGACTAGACACATGGATTTCTATGTTGTACATAGTCCTGTCTTTGTGGTTCTAAAACAAACCCAATTTATAGGATATGTTATAAATATTTTTGTTCCGGGGCGCCTGGGTGGCGCAGTCGGTTAAACGTCCGACTTCAGCCAGGTCACGAGCTCGCGGTCCGTGAGTTCGAGCCCCGTGTCAGGCTCTGGGCTGATGGCTCAGAGCCTGTTTCCGATTCTGTGTCTCCCTCTCTCTCTGCCCCTCCCCCGTTCATGCTCTCTCTCTGTCCCAAAAATAAATAAATGTTGAAAAAAAAATTAAAAAAAAAATAAATATTTTTGTTCCTCAAAATACTCATTTGACATTTTATTTTTATTAAAATATTAAAAATATCTAATTGGCTATTCAGATTATCTCATTTTAAACATTTATTTTGGTGCGTATAAAATGCTATTTAAGCAACTGGGTGTTTTTTCCTAATTATTTGCTAAAAATTCAACTTTTTGTAATTAAAAATAAATCTTTGAGCTCATCACAGCAGTTATTTTCCCATAAACTTTATTGAAAGTGATAGAAATAGAAAAAAATTTAACCATGAGTTTTGCCTATTTCCTATGAAATAGCAAGTTTCCATTTCACTAAATTTGGAGAGCTTTTTTTAGGAAATAATATGATACCAAAAGAAAGGAAATAAAATTCTTAGAAAGATCTCAAAAGATTATTAATAGATGAGATTTGAATAAAACTGATCAAATACTGGAATGGATGCTTTCTTTCCTTTCTTTCTTTTTTTTTATTGCCTACATTGTCTGGAAACTGTTCAGCAGAACAAAGGGTTTTATGGATGAAAGACTGGTATGAAGAAACATGAATGTCAACTCAGGCTCTGAAAGACAGTCTGCTAATGAAATATTCTAAAAGTCATTTTCAAGGTGGTTGAAAGTTCTCACTGATGTGCACCAATGCCTTTGATAAAAAAAATTATATATATCAAATAATTACACAAGTGTTGGCTCTGGGGACAGAGAAAATAAGGTTAGCTCATATGCACCCAAATATGAGGGAGAAGTTTGTGTTTCATACTTTATTTCCATGGGTGAAAATTATCAGTCACCTGATAAAATTACTTAGGTAGTAAATTTCTTACTTCTTACCTGTGAAAAATGCCTTTTTCTGCTATCTAGGTTATGCTAACTAACTGTGATCTATGATTTACTACCTTAATGGTTACCTCTTTATGTGCAAAGTGTAGGAAGGAGATGATTATCTTTAAAAATTGAACTTTCCCAAAACATCCTTGAGTGAACTTTCCTGATAAATGCAAGAAGTAATGACTTTTCCCCAAAGGTCCACTGATCCACTCTATTAATATACATACCTGCCAATGACACCTACTTATCCTCTGTTCTATAGTATGCATTCTTTTCTAAGATATATGTATATACTCTCAGTAATAGTTTTGAAAGATATATATATGTGCAATATATATGTATGTGCACATGTAGGTAAAATATACCTTTATATGGGTTTATAATTGGATGGAACTTTACATTTGGATGTCCTTGGAATCTGTCTGCATCAGTTTTCTGTGACTTTGATTTTAATCATGCAAGTATGATGAGGACTCTTTTTCAGGAGTGTCTATCATGGTGCCCCATACCGAGAGGCCCTTAATTAGGGTAACAATGGTTCTACGACATAACCAGATTAATGGATGCATGGTTCATTAGGCTTTTTAAACACTTTAAACACTCCATATCAGATTGACTGTGGGATGTCTACTTTCTGCCCCTGTCACAATCCCAGATGACTTAGTGAATTTCAGTGGTTTGACAACAGTGTTAAGCTTTGTAGTCTGAGTCTGGGTTGGGCTTGGTTTAGAAAAAGCAGCTAATCCTGGTAGGTAGACTTTATCTCCATTCCATTTTATATTTTCATGAATGAAATTTTTATACATGCGTGGTTGATGCAAACATAAAAAAGACATTTGCATGACATTTAATTGTCTTTGCCACTGGCTTGATCTTAGTCTCTCATAGTCATCTACCTTAGTATATGTTATGGCTAATTTGTAATGCACTTTTCCCTTACACTATTTTTTTCAACTTGAAATTTTTCAGCAGTCTAGATTCAACCACAGTGCTATCTTCTTTTTGAAACTTCAACGGACTTTCTTCTAACAAAGGTAATCACTCTCTACAAGTTCTTACAGTATTTTTTATGTATGTGTATGATGACAGTTTCACATTACATTGTTTTTTTTCAAGTATCTTTTCATGTCTTAACTAGTCAGAGAGATTCTAGAGGATAGGGGCTAGTACTTATTAAAAAAAATATCCAGGATTAAAAGTAGATACTCAGTGAATATTAGTTTTCAAAAATTGTTCAAAGGTAAATAAGAGTATGCAAACAGGATCCTTATAGTGAATAAGGAAGCTTAAAAGAAAATGAAGTCCAAGATGTGGTAACATTCAGAGCTTAAAAAATGGAGTCGCCTGTGGAGAACTTGGAAGCCATGTGCACTGTTGGTAAAAATATAAAATGGCAAAGCTGTTCAGGAAAGCAGCATAGCAATTCTTCAGAAAAATTAAAAACATAATTACTATATGATTCACCAATTCCCTTTGTATGTATATACCTAACAGTTGAAAGCAGGGTCTCGAAGAGGTATTCGCACAATGATGTTCATAAGAACATTATTCATAATCACCAAAAGTTGGGAGCAAACTAAGTGCTCACTGACAGATGACTGGATAAACAAAATGTGGTATATGCATACAATGGAATGTTATTCAGCCTTAAAAAGGAAGGAAAATCTGATGCATACTACAACATGGATGAACCTCGAGGACATAATATTAAGACACAAAAAGACAAATGCTTTATGGATTCCACTGATATGAGATACTTGGAATAGGCAGAGTCATACAGATGGAAATAGAAGGCTGGCTGACGGGGTCTCAGAGGGAGGGGAAAAGAATTGTGTAATATGGTATAGTGTTTTAGTTTTGTAAGGTGAAAAGAATTTTGGATGTTGATTGTATAACAGTGTGAATGCACTTAACACTGCTGAAGTATACACTTAAAAATAGTTAAGATGGTAAATTTTGTGTTATGTATCTTTTACCACAATTTAAAATAATTGAAAAAAAAATGAAGTCATCGTCATTTTACACATCACAATTATGTCAGACTAATCCATCATAAAGGTATTTTAATATCTCTATTTGGGGGCAGCTAGTCTACATAAAGATCATCTGATTGTTTCATAGATACCAGTATGTAAAAGACAATTTACTGTTTCATAATTTTAATACCAACCCATCAAGATGTATTTGTTGTATACTCATAATGTTTGATATCCTTGGATGGTTGGGAGAGAGGATAAAAATGGACAGCAAGAAGCTGACCACCAGCCTACATTCGGAGGATTTTTATATAGTGAAGTCATTGCTCATAATACCTTAAGGGAATTGACACAGCTGCTTTGTAAAGTCATACATTCTGTAGTTGTTCTAGGATGAATCCTAGCTGAAAATTAATCCAAGAAAGTTAGAGCCCTGATACCAGTAAAAAAGGAGAGTGAGTTACCCGGCAACATATATACTTGGTCAGTTGGATCTACTATAATGGTCCTTAAATGCCCACCTAGGAGTTGCTTTAGCAATATATTTTTTTCCAGAGGAAAAAAGGCCAAGCTGGAAAATCTGAGTCTTTTTGTCTATTTTTTAGCAGTAATGTAAGTCTTTTTAATTGTATCTGTGCAATTTTGCTTTGCTGCCTCTGAAGCTGTTGAGGATGGCCCTTGGTTTATTTCTGGGAAGGACAAATAGAATGGCAACTACCAATGGTTCAGAAGGAGTTCAACTTAGTCTAGAAATTTCAGAGACTAATTGGGGATTGAGACAACTATCAAGAATAAGGGTGTGGGCTTAAATAGAGAACCAAGATTGGCAAATTTAAGGGGAATTTTGGGGTTAGAGGAGATAAGTAATACTAGAAATAACTAGTAGATAACACTCACGGACCACAGACTACATCCCAGGAATTCTTTACTTGTGTTAACTCCATGAATCTTTTCAACAGCCTTATGTGATAGGTACTTATATTATTTTCCAATGTCTAACCTTGTAATGTCCTAAGAGGAAACCCAAAGACAGGGTTTTGGGTTCAATCTCAGGGAAATGATCCCAGGTTTTCTATTTTCTTTGAGGGAATGGGGAAGGTAGACAGGAAGGGAGGAAAACCAAATAAAATTCTATTAATTAGTGGTGTCTGCTGTGGGCAACTGGAGCTCAAATACCACTGGAGGTCCTCTATAGAACATGCCTCAGAATTGTTCCACTGAAGGCTGGGGAAGCCGGGGATTTAATCCTCCAACGTCTACTGCTCACTGATTGAGAGCTGCTTCTGGGGCATTAATTCCTACACACTGTCGTATTACCATATTCTAAAAACAGACCCAGGAAGCAGTCCTTGGTATATAAGGAGCTGCAGATGGTCTCAGAGCCATGGCAGCATCTGCTGCACTTAGTTTGCATATGAGGAACATAGGACACAATTCTAACATCATGTAATTTGGATTTATTCTAGAACTATAGACTGTTGACTGAAGCTAGGATTCTACATTTTTCCCATTTACATGGGTAACCCCAGAAGAGCTAAAGTTGATGAAACAGACTGAAAGAAAAAGATGCCTTACACATAGAATCCATAGGCAACACTGAGAGCCAGTTCATTTGTTCATTCATTCAATTGTTTGTTCTTTCATTCAGAAATTTATCAAGTGCCAGATTTGAGTCCAGTACTATTTGCACTGGGGATGGCGTAGGGTGAGGAGATAGAAGGAGGGGATATAAGGAGAGGTATATGAGATATAAGGAGGACAATTGTGACAAGATTTCTACTCTCATGTATCTGCCATGTGATTGGAAAGAGAGACAAAATAAATAAAAAATATAATTTCAAATGACAGTGAATACGTTGAATGAGATAGAATTACCATTGTGACTAATTACAGTAAAAGTAGTTCTTGGACTCGCTAAAGAAAAAGGGCACCTTCACTTCTTACCAGAGTCAGATTCCTGGAATTGATCTGATATTGAGGACTGTGCAGTTAGCAAGTGGATGGCAGCACACCAAAGAAGAGGTGGATAAAGAAATTGTAAACAGGGGTGTGGCTCAGTCAGTTAAGCATCTGAATTCAGCCCAAGTCATGATTTCGTGCTCTGTGAGTTCGAGCCCTGTGTCAGACTCTGTGCTGACAGCCCTGAACCTGGAGCCTGCTTCAGATTTTGTGTCTCCCTCTCTCTCTGCCCTTCCCTGCTTGTGCTCTGACTCTATCTCTCAAAAATAAGTAAATGTTAAAAAAATCAAAACACAACTATATAAAAAAAGAGAAATTGTAAACATGTTGCCAGCAGGGCTTGGTGTGTAGCTATTCTGACTAGAATGGTGAATTGTGATGTTTTGCAAGAAAAAACTGGTTTCTTATATTATGCTATATTATGCTTTGCATAAAGATTAAAAGTGTATCATCGCATGTTCTGTATCATTCACTTTAGTGAGTGTGTGCTCAAATATATGGTAACTTTGGAGCAGGCATTAAGAAGTTCTTTAGGGCATGCTCCTTTCTATGGAATGTTGTTCAAGTTACATGCTGTAGGTCATATTTGGAAACCGGTTTGTTGTGGGATGCCTATAATCAAAGTCTCCTCCTGCATTCTTGCATTCCTTTAGATGTATTTTTATCCTCATATTTACTGAGTGTCCCTTATACAGCAGGTACTGCACTGGGCACTGAGGTCAGCAGGAGAAGCCTGGTAACTGGAACTCATAGTTCAGAGATGGGAGGAGCCAACAGGGAAACAAGAAAGTAATGAACAAAGGCACCACAGCTAGTTATAAGAATTATGATGGAAATGAAATGGGGGCTGTGAAGGAGAAATAAGCATGTATGGGAGAAGGGAGACACAACATGGGGTGGTCAGGAAATGCATCACTGGTAAGGGGACTTTGATGGTGGGGCCTCAAAGACCAGGGACCCATCATGCTGGAAAGTGAAGAGCAGATTGTTCAGAGCATGAGCATAGAAGATAGGTAATACCAAGTTCTTGAGTCTGGGAAAGGGCTTGGTTTATCGTAGGGTGTTTTTTTTTTTTGTCGTCAAGTTAGCTAACATACAGTGTAGTCTTGGCTTCAGGAGTAGATTCCTGTGATTCATCGCTTGCATACAACACCCTTAGTTTTTTTTTTTTTTCCACTATATGAAATTTATTGTCAAATTGGTTTCCATACAACACCCAGTGCTCATCCCAAAAGGTGCCCTCCTCAATACCCATCACCCACCCTCCCCTCCCTCCCACCCCCCATCAACCCTCAGTTTGTTCTCAGTTTTTAAGAGTCTCTTACGCTTTGGCTCTCTCCCACTCTAACCTCTTTTTTTTTTTCCTTCCCCTCCCCCATGGGTTTCTGTTAAGTTTCTCAGGATCCACATAAGAGTGAAACCATACGGTATCTGTCTTTCTCTGTATGGCTTATTTCACTTAGCATCGCACTCTCCAGTTCCATCCACATTGCTACAAAGGGCCATATTTCATTTTTTCTCATTGCCATGTAGTACTCCATTGTGTATATAAACCACAATTTTTTTATCCATTCATCAGTAGATGGGCATTTAGGCTCTTTCCATAATTTGGCTATTGTTGAGAGTGCTGCTATAAACATTGGGGTACAAGTGCCCCTATGCATCAGTACTCCTGAATCCCTTGGGTAAATTCCTAGCAGTGCTATTGCTGCATCATAGGGTAGATCTGTTTTTAATAAATCATGAGTAAAGGTGAGGAGTGTCAGGAGAAATGAAAAGATGGGCAGGAGACAGACCAGGCAGGGTCTTTGAGGCTCCACTTCTGCTCATTTGGCCAGTTTGATATTTATGTGAGACAGTAAATTTAACTTTCCTTTTTTATCCCCTTCCTTAATGCAAAACAAACAAACAACAAGACTGTGTTTTTTTTTTAAGTTTTTATTTAAATTCCAGTTAGTAAACACAGTGTGATAGTAGTTTCAGATGTACAAAATAGTGACTCAACACTTAAAACACCTGGTGCTCATCACAAGAGCACCACTTACTCGCCATCACCTGTCTCATTCATATCCCCACCCACCTTCCCTTTAGTAATCATCAGTTCTCTATAGTTAAGAGTCTGTGTCTTGGTTTACTCTCTCTTTTCTTCCCCTATGATTGTTTTTATTTCTTAAATTCCACATATGAGTGAAATCATATAATCTGATTTACTTCAATTACCATAATACTCTCTAGCTCCCTCCATTTGTTGCAAATGGCAAGATTTAATTCCTTTTTTATGGCTCAGTAATATTCCACAACTTCTTTATCCATTCATCAGTCGATGGGCATTTGGGCTGTTTCCATAATTTGGCTATTGTTGAGAGTGTTGCTATAAACATTGGGGTACATGTATCCCTTTGAATTAGTATTTTTGTATTCTCTGGGAAGACTGTCTTTCTAAAACTAGAAGGGAGAGTGTCACATCCTTGGAACTATGTGCTCACGTGTCTCCTCTCATGCACACGAACCATGTCAGCACACCATCTCTAGCTTCTAATTCAATGCCCGGCCGATAGTAGGCATTCAATACATATACACACACGATTTGTAATTGCTGGGAAGTATTTTATATTTCTTGTTTTGTAAAGCATGCTGGGAACTATATGGTATTAGTACATACGATTAAAATGATTTTTAAGATGAGAGACCTTTAAGACAATATCCATTCTTTGAGTGACCACTGAACAAGTAGAAGTCATAGAGACTCCTGGGGCTAAAGATTGTTGGTACATTTTGATGACTTATTGAACATTTAAAAATCATTATTACTCTGGCTATTAGCTAGTCCTTATCTCAGTTATAATATTGGTGAAGATGTATATATATATTTTAATTTGAGGGGAAACAGCAGAGGGAGAGGGAAAGAAAGAATCTCAAGCAGGCTCCACACCCAGCATGGAGCCTGATACGGGGTTCAATCTCATGACCATGAGATCATGACTTGCTCTGAAATCAAGAGTCGGATGCTTAACTGACTGAGCCACCCAGGCACCCCTGGTGAAGATGTTTTTATCTACTCATTCATCCAAAGTACATGTAGAGCATCTACTGCGTGGTAGGCATTTATGTTGGATGCTGAGGAAACAGAGACTATATGGTCACCATTCTTACTGCTTCAGGAGTAAATTTAATATAAAAAAGGTAACGTAATACAACATCAGTCACACAGTCATAGGATCTCTAGAATGTGCAGTGCTGTCATGTATAGTGGTGCAGTCAGGGTCTTATCCTTTCTGAGCTCATAGTCTAGTAGGGAATGTGTGCAAAGTAACTGTCCTGCAAATCACAGCATGCTGACATTTATCATCAACAACTGTTGAATAATGTCAAATGATAGGCTTGATTGTACATGTAAGTGACAGAAATATACATAGCAGATGCTTGAGAGTGCACTAATCTGCAGAGATTCTCAAGAAGTAATGAGGTATAACATGGAGGGTTTCTGTTTTCCAATCTATTTCCATAAAAATTCTTTTCACAAAATATTGAGAGAATTCTGATTTTTTAAAAATGAGCATAACTTTGACCTCACAAATATGGTCCTAGGAATGTCTTCCATGGATATAAATGTATGTGTAAAGAGCTAGATGCAAAGGTTTATTTTTAATTTTTTAAACAATTGTTGTTATACTAACAAGTCAAACACACTCCCTCTTTTGTCTTTCATAAACTGAATTTGAAAGGCTCGTCACTCAGATTTCCACATGGCTAGCGCCATATACCCCATTCAGATCCTTGATTGTAGGTCACCTGCTAGAGAGCAGCCACTGCTTCTTGCTACTCTCTATCTTCTTATTTTTATTAAGATTATGATTATAATTATCTTTATTATGATTATGATAGTTTTATTGCAGGACTTAAACACCAACTGCCATATTTATTTGTGTGCGTTGTTTTTCTTGTTTATCTTTCAGTCCCCACAATGTAAACTCTATGAGAACAGAGGCCTTGCATTTCCAGTCTGGGACGAGGTAACTATTGAGCAATGAACACATATTCCATAAATATTTGTTGAATGAATAAATAACACAAGCAAAACAAACAAAATGTTCACCAGTAGGTTATTGACCAAATGCATTGGATAACCATATAATGAAATTCTGTGCAGCCTTTAAAATGGCATTTTTATAAATATATATGGTTTTCTTTTTTTTTTTTAATGTGATAGGTTGTTCATAATAGTAAAAAAAGGTATAGTTTGCAAAGAAGCCTTTTCACTGTTCAGTATAATTCTCTTTCTCTCTCTCCCCATATGCATACATATTTGTGTGTTTTTATGTGTGTATGAAAAAGAAACAAAAATGTTAATGGTAATTATTTCTGAGTGGAGAGAGTTCAGTTTCATTTATTCTTTGAATTTTTTGTAATATTTTATATTTGTTCTTTGTGCCTCTCTATATTTTTATAGTTAGTTTTTTGTGTGTAAAAAAATCTAAAGTCATAAAGGCATTTTTAGTCCCCAGGTAGGTTAAGCAATCATGTTGAGCATTAAGGATTTTGAGGGTTTTGCTAGTTTGTTTCTGCAGAGTGACCCATATTGACTAAATTTTAAATTTGTTATTGGATTGTTACCTGCTACCTCTAAGATCTTTATATAGGTAGCCAGTTATTAAATTCAAGAATTTGGTAACGTTTCTGTGTGCAAAAATACTTGCAGAGTAATATTACTGTAGTATATGATATTGTAGCATCCTAAATACACACTTACAAAATTGGCACCTAAGGGGTGCCTGGCTGACTCAGTTGGTAGAGCATGGGACTCTTGATCTCTGGGTTGTGAGTTTGAACTCCACACTGGGCGTAGAGTTTACTTAAAAAATAACAATAAAAATAAGATTGACACCTAATATATGTTTTCAAAGAAATAACAATCTAATGTAAATAGCATACTTTGTCTTCTGATTTTAATGTGACTTTTGAGTTTTGTTTACTTTCCTCTCCTCTCTGTCACATTTAGTGTAGTGCCCTCATGAAAAGAATCTATTTATCCCTTCGGTCCTTTGATAAGCTGGGATTCTCAGATACATTTACAAAGAAAGTTATGGTGCTAGAGCTTTGAGAATCTAAAAGGATAATTTTATGAAAAAATTCTCCATATAAGTGGCAATCCTCAGGCAATCTCTCAATATTTCTCCCAATATGGATCAGCCCATGAATTCCCAAGAAAGATTAAAAATACATTTTAAACTTCTTTAAACTTTTAAGATCTTAAATTAAATGCTTAACTCTCTTTAAATGTGTGACACCATCCATCACAATTTTATATTTAGACACATAATAATGTATAATCTCAGCTTCTGTCCACTTGTAAAAATGGGAATAGACTTGGAGAAATAAGCAATTTCCCAACAGAAAATTGGAAATTCTGCCAACCAATTCCAGGTGACCTGCCATCAATCAGTGTTAAATTCTCTGGGGCTATTGTTGAAGGGTATTGCTATTAGTGAAGGGCTTCACCTGGTGACTAATGGTATATAACAAATACATTGAAGAACTATAGAACCCCCCTGAATCTGTAATTGTCTGGTAACTTTCAGCAGAGACCTTTCCTGGCAATTGAGAAAGTGAGATTTTTATAACCTCCTTGCAGTTCTCCTATTAAAATATCTGTTTTTAGAGAAATGGGTGAAATGATTATGCCATGCAATTAAATTAAATTAGCTGACAAAATATTTCTTTATGACTAAACTGTTTAATGTAGGCATTTGGAAATATGTGGTATCATTTAGAATATGTGCAAATGTGACAATTATTCTGATTCTGAAGTTAAATAAGAAGTCTCAGTTTGTAATAAAATCTCCTTGTTTGGTATTATTAAGTAATTATGATTAATGTTTGAAATGTAATGTTCCATGGTTATAATTTCCTTGTTTGCTTGAGTGAGTACATTAGGAATTCATTAAAAATGCAAGCTCTTTAGATACCTGCAAACTACAAATGTAGTGAGGACTTTGCTGGGGGTTAGGAAGCATTTTTCAGTAAGAAGCCATGAGTAGGGTGAACCAACAGCTGGCAGATAACTATGATGGATTTCTAGTACTGAAATGCAGGAATAGACAAATGGGTTTGTTGATTGATGTCAAAAATCAAATCCATTCTGATGTAAAAATCTAATTGCAAAGCATCCCTGCCATTCCTGTAACTCTTAACTGTAAAGGCTGAAGCAGGTAAGATTTAAAATGTACAAATGTGGCTAATACTTATGGGCAGGCCACAGATATACAAAGGCAGCTAAGATTTTGATGTCATCAAAAAGTAGTTTGTCTTATGTAGTGAAAATAGTAAAATCAGTCATTTCATTGCTTGATCAATCATTCCAGCATTCCTGGAGCATGTGCATCACCAGATGATTGTGAAGAGTAAATGAAATGAAGTACATAAAACACCCAGTGTCCTGTTGGTTCTACCTAGAAAGCGTCATTTCAAGTGTTGCCCCAGAGTTAGTTGTGTGGTGATCAATCAATTGGGCTTCCTCCACTTAGGAGGAAGTGATGCGGTGAAGAACACCTGCATCCCCTGGGGATGTTGTCTCCAACCAAAGAAAGTGCAGCTCTGGTGTCACCTTCTTTTTTTCTAAGGATGCTAAACCCATCATGAGGGCCCCACCATCATGCCCTCATCTAAATCTAATTACTTCCCAAAGGCTCCACCTCCTAATACCATCATATTGGGAGTTGGGGCTTTAGGCTATGAATTTTGAGGCCATAAACATTGAGTCCATACCAAGGGTTATGACAGCATATCCTTAAAGCCTATAAATCATGACAGGTATACAAAGGGGAACTTCCAGAATAGTAGGACCACGATGTCCATTTCTATCATTTCATATCTTGAAAGAGTAGGCAATAAATGGAAGTCTTGATACAAGAATTGGTGAACATGGGACCTGTTATCACAGTGTGCTAGAGCGAAGAGGTGACTGGATAAGACTCAGATTTGCTGTCCAGCCCTAACTCATTGTTTGCTCATGGACACATCTGTTCAACTCTCTAAAGCTAGATTTCCTTATCTGAAGAAAAGAAATCATAGATTTTGCTGAACTCAGATGAAGGTTACAAGAACACAAGGGTATAATGTATAAAAGTCGTGTCAAATAATGGGCAAATGGAATTATCATTATCTGTATTAATTTCCTAGGGCTGCTGTAACAAATTACTTTTTAGCTTAAAACAACACAAATTTGTTATCTTACATTCTGGAGGTCAGAAGTCCTAAATGAATCTTGTAGGGATAAAATTAGGGTGTAAGTAGGGCTATGTTCCTTTTGGAGGCTCTAGGGAAGAATCCATTTCTTGCCCTTTCCAAGTTTAGAGGGGCTGCCCATATTCCTTGGCTTGTAGCCCTGCATCACTCCAACCTCAGCTGCTGTCACCTTGCCTTCTCTGACGTTAATTCTCTTGCCTTCTCCTTACCCTTTTTTATTGTAAAAAAAAAAAAAAAAAAAAAAAAAACCACAACATAAAATTTACCATGTTAACCATTTTTTTTTAACTTTTTTTTTTCAACGTTTATTTATTTTTGGGACAGAGAGAGACAGAGCATGAACGGGGGAGGGGCAGAGAGAGAGGGAGACACAGAATCGGAACCAGGCTCCAGGCTCTGAGCCATCAGCCCAGAGCCCGACGCGGGGCTCGAACTCACGGACCGCGGGATCGTGACCTGGCTGAAGTCGGACGCTTAACCGACTGCGCCACCCAGGCGCCCCGATCTTAACCATTTTTAATAGTATATTACAGTAGTGTTAACTCTATGCACATTTGCTTTGCATCAGGACTCTAGAACAGTTTCATCTTGGAACACTGAAACTATACCCATTGAATAACAACTCTTTCCCTGCCCCCCCTCCCATCTCATTCTTATAAGGACCCTTGGGATTATATTGGGCCCATTTAGATTATCTAAAATAATCTTCTCACTTCAAGATCCTTAATTATATCTCCAAAGATCTTTTATAGTCACCAGGTTCCAGATATTAGGATGTGGACATTTTTGGAAAGTCATTATTCTGTTTACTACATCATTTGATGAGATAGGTCAGGTAGTTAATATAAGCAACTTAGAAAAAAGAATCAAATTATCAGATATGTTGAAGGAAGTGGGACATCCACTTATTCTGTATAACTGTATTTTATTTTTTCTAATGAAATTGTATTTTTGGAAAATGGAATTAGATACATTAATGGATGGTAGAGTCACATGGATCAATTAAGAATATGATTTAGGGTTTCCTTCTATTGTCAATAAAAATAAAATGGCTTGTCTTATTTTTTAAAAAGTTCCCAAAAAGGGCTGCCTGAAGATGAACTATTGTATGTATGTTCTGTGGGCTAGGGCACATCATGTTTATAATGATATGGGGGTATAAATAATACTAAGACTCATCTCCATTTGCATGCTAATTCTTTTCTTTCCCTCTCTGTGATATTACCAAGCTATATGTTCAGGTCT